GTGCTAAAATCTCAGTTTAATTCATTTGCTGACACATTAGCACGCATTCTGTTAAGAGGTGGTTCTGGTAGGAGATTGTCTGCTTTTTTTTTAAAGTCCAGGTTTTTAAGAAACAGCTTGTTTTAATAAGTTCTTTTAAAAAAATGTAATTACAAGCACATGTTACAGTTTTATCATAGACTCGCTGCTAGAGACAAGGCCTCCAGTGGGCCGAGTCAAAGATTTCTCTCTTGGGAGAGACATTTCTATGAGATAATTACTGTTAGATTTAATATGAAATAAAGACTGGTTAAAGATCTGTAGGTTCTTGGCCAATAACCATCTGGAAGTCTACCAGGTAAGGGGGTTATAGGTCTTCGATTAAATTCCATCACAAAAATTGCTTAACTATTTTATCAGGAATGTTAATTTCTTACATCACAGAAAAGGTTTCTGTTCCAGACTATGTTCAAATCAACTGAGTTAAGCTATGCCAGTGTTATAGGAAACTCTCTTTTCTTTACTGGAAAAAAAAAAATAGAGTTTTAATGGACATTTCCCAGAATACTTGCAATCTAGATAAAAGAAAAATGACTAGAAGGGGAATAAAAAACCAAAAACACTTCTTCCTCCTTCCCCTCCCCCCTCCTTCCTTTCTCCCTCTCTCCTTTCTTTCTCTCCCTTCCACCTTCCCAACCCACACATTCCAAATGCCTCCACAGACTTATTTTCTTGAAGATATTAGTTGACATAGCTCACCTGATACAAGTGAAAAATATTAAGTCAGCTACGTTAACTAGTGTCTACAGTTCTTACCCTGTGTCCAGTTCCACAGCTCCATATTGCCTCAGTTTGGTGCGGTATAGAAATTGCCCATTATCTCTCTATTTGAGAAATGTATGTGGTACCCACGACGAGCAAGGTTCAGTGCCAGATCCTGTGGGAGAGGGATGGAGGAAGATGGGTGAGAACACGGTCCCTGGCATCCGAGAGCTCCTAACCTAGTGGGAGACGAGGACCCTGTTTGGGAACCTCCAGGTTAACTTTTGACAATTGTGCCCTTCTTCTGTGTAGGTCTTGACCGAGCACAGCAGTACAGACACTAATTTGGAAGGAGAAAATGGAAACACAGCTCTGTTAATTGCATGCTTCCAAGATAATAGTGAAGCACTGCAGATGTTGGTTTGTATTTCAATCATGTTTTTTCTGTTTTCCTTTTCATTAGTACAACGTAAACTGCTGTTATTTACAACTCTCGGTTTCTCTTAGCAAAATATAAAATACAGAAAATGTCACGGCAAAAGTTTTGTGTGTTTTTATAAATGTACATATCCCTTAAATCTTAAATGAATCTGAGATTGCTTGCAGAAGACTAGCAGGAAGGCATGAAAGAATAAAGAAAACGCGAGAAGATCAAAGTGAAAATAAAGCATAGACCGGAAAAATTAACACAAAGCTGGTGGTCAGGGTAGAGTACAAAATACAAAGTATAATAGCCTGTATGTTCATAAAAGTGGATCATACATTTGACTCTGAGCTTCTGAATAAGTCCAGGGAAAGATATAGTAAATGGCAGACTTATCGTCGGACCCATAAAATAAAAGCCAAGAGAAACATAGTCATTCGTATTGCCCTGACAAGAAGAAATTGTTGCTTGGGTTCTCGGAAAAGGGAGCCCTGTGTGACAATAACAACTAGGGTCCTTAGCCACAGCACTAAAATTGGGGTCAGCCTCCTCTCTGTGGTGAGATTTCCTGGGGAGATCCAGTAGAACCCTGATCTTGCCTATCTAAAGGACTGACTCCTGCCCCTTCTGGTGTGGTCCTAGGATTCCAGTAAATAGTTTTCTTTCAAATAGCCCTTAATCACTTGTATGTTATTCAAGCCATTTTCTATATTTTTACCTCTTAATTTTCCCTTTCCATCTTCCCAAAGAATAGGAAAATGAAATAAAAAAAACTTTTAAAATAGCTTCCTAATATTTAAATTTAAATTTAAATATGTTCTAACATATTTACTGGATGTCTTGGAGGAAAATGCATATTCTTATAAGCTGTCATGATTGGACCAAAAAGAGAATAAAAATAAATTAACTAGCAAACCAAGAATTCAGAAAAGAGCCTCAAATAAACCAAAAGAAAATTGGAATAAATAAATGGTAAAGTTGAAAACAAAATATACTAATTTTGGAATTATTCAATAAATCAAGAGTTATTTCTTGGAAAAAGATAATAGACAAAGATTTGTGAGTCTAACTAAAACAGAAGAGGACAAAGCACAAATAAATAAGCAAAATTAGAAATAAGAAAGAGATATGCTAGTAATTTTTAAATGACAAACTATCAGTATGCATAATCCTGTCCTAAAACATTTGAAAATCCTTTTTTAAATGGATTAATAGCTAAAAGTAATTAAAATTCCAAAATTAAGTAAAAAATTAAAGATTTGTAGGGAACCATAATACATTTTTTAAAAGTGCCTTATCAAAGCTCTGGAGCCAGCTAACATACACGCTGTTATGGATTTTCCAAGTTCTTTCAAACTTTTAAGGATTCTGTTCCTATTTCAGGTTACCTTCTTATAGCGCAAGAAAAGAGTGAGAATGTGCAGATTAACTTTATGAAGCAAAAATAATAATAATTTAAAAATTTGAGAGCCCCTCCCCAAAGAAAAATATAGATGCATTTCACCATATAACATAGATACAAAATCTTTAAAATCCTAGCAATTAATTTACGAAAATAATTAGAAGGGTAACATGAAATACATGTTAGCCTTATGCAGAGAATGTATAGATTGTTAGACATTGGATTGTAACACATCAATTGGCCTGAGCAGACAAAACATATGGTTATTTATTAAATCTACATATTTATATACCTTTAAACGAATATGAATTTTTCTATATTCTTACAAATCTATAAGGAAAAGACCACACTCTGTAGAAAATTGGCAAGGGGCACATAAAGTTTAATTGATTTCTCTGATAGTCAAAGAGAAACATGTTAGAACAAAGAGGTATCATTTTTTTCATCTCTTAAATTGGAAGGATGAAAAAACTTTTTGATATGCAGTGTTAGAGAAATTGTGATGAGTCGAAGATTTTGTTCCCTGTGGGTGTAATTACTTTTTGATTCACTAATTCTAATTCTCGGAATACATCTCCAGGAGATAACTGAAGTGATCACTTACGTTAACGTCAATATTATATATGTTAGAAGGAAGAAGCTGAAAAAAATTTGAAATTCAATGAACAGGATTCATCATATAAAGTTTTGTGTACCCTGAAATTGAACATGTACATAGTAAAATTATCTATTTAGAGAATGTTAGGTAAAAACTTTTTGAACAGTGTAGTCACACAGTATACACATAAAAATTACCTTTGCAAAAAAATAAGACAAAAAATATTTTGTCTTCTAAAATGGAAATCGATGCTGTTAGGAGGTGAGGGTGCAGGTAATATTTGCTCCTTCATGCTCTTCTGCTTTCTCACAGTCTTCTCCTTAGTGATAATAAAAGGTTTTTAAAACAAAACTGAAGTCCAATGGTCTATAGAAAGTGATATTTGAAAATGATTGACTCAGAGGTCAAAGTAACATATGATTCAGTTCTTCTAACGTCTTTTTAGTAGAGAACTTCCATTAGTGAAAAATACCTGATTTTCATAGTTAACAAAGTGCTGGTCTAATCATGTCTTAATTTTACATAAATGAAAGGATAAGAAAATGGGTGTAGGTGGAGTCATGTTAATGTTTAAAAATATCTTATTAATCCCATTGAAAATGTGTTGACTTTAAGTCATCTGGAATATGAAGGCTGATGTTTTTGTATCTACATTGTTACCTCATCTTTGGGAAATATGAAGTCTCTCTATTTCAGACTCTCAGCCTAATTCCAAAATTACCTTCTTTCCTAGATTTCATATCATTTGAGGCTCTTCCGTATAGTTTTACATAGGCACAGAATAGTGAAATGGTCCGGGAGGGGCAGGTAAATAAACTCTTGTCCGTCCTTGCCATGTGGGTTTAACTTGTATCGTTTGACTTCTTTGTTGTTGTTATTTTTTCCTCCAGTTAAATAAGGGAGCAAAGGCTTGTAAAGCAAACAAATGGGGATATTTTCCTATTCACCAGGCTGCCTTTTCGGGTGCCAAAAAATGCATGGAAATAATATTAAAGTATGGTGAGTACTGTTTCCTACATCAAATGCTATAAAGAAGCCTATCCTGGTGGATGCTATTAATTCAAAAAATATTTAATAGAATTTACACATGGGCTTTTATGTAAGTCTAAACATCTCATTTTTTTTTAAAAAGAAATTCTTTTATTTATAATTATTTTT